GAGGAAACGAACTTTCTTTTCCTCAGGCATGTCTGGGTCAGCGTGACGGAATAGGCGGGTCATCTCCTCTGTGAAAATTCCAACCTTTTCGTTTGGTAGCTGAACCCGGGTCTCGAGTAGAGCAGCGGCCCTCTCTTTGCGAGCGACGCTTGCGAACGTTCCCAGAAATGCGCCGCAGAAGACATCCCACGTTCGGAGCGTGGACTCCCAATTCTCTAGCCAGGTCCTTGCGGTGTCTTCCAGGTAAAAGTACGCACGACGGAGCTTTTCTTCGTTGTCCCAGTGGTTGAGGGCGGCCACACGGTCGTATGTTTCTAGCCAGGTTTCCGGGTCTTCAAACGATGAGCCATGGAACGTTGGTGGTTCCCTGGGTTGATGAATGACGATCGCGGGCTGGGACGCTCCGGTTGTCATTGTCGCTGCAGTCGAGGTCATGGTCTTGGTCTTCCGCGCCTTGTCTTGTAGAAGGCCGTACTCCGGTGGGAGACCTTGCTGTCGGCGGCTCGTTCGCTGCTCTTGGTTGGCGTCGGTGTCTTCTCCGCGACGGGGGCTGGGTTCACGGCTTGACGGGGGCGTCCGGTACATGAACGAAGCAGCACGGCCTCACCGAGCGGCTTAACAAGACGATCGCCGACATGCTGTCAATGTACGTCGATGTCGAACACAAGACATGGGACGCCATTCTTCCATATGTGACCTTCGCATACAACACGGCGGTGCAGGAGACGACGCAGATATCTCCATACAAATTGGTCTACGGAAGGAGCCCGGCAACGACGCTCGATGCCATGTTACCCAACGTCACCGACGAAGAAAACCTCGATGTGAGCGAGTACCTTCATCGCGCCGAAGAAGCCCGACAACTTGCGCGGCTCCGTATCAAGAATCAACAGACGACCGACAGCCACCGTTACAACCTTCGACGACGCTTCGTGGAATACCAGCCCGGTGAACGTGTTTGGGTGTGGACGCCGATACGCCGACGTGGACTAAGTGAAAAGCTTCTGCGACGGTACTTCGGACCGTACAGGGTGGTTCGACGTCTCGGCCCACTTGATTACGAGGTTGTCCCCGACGGCATCACGAACTCTCAACGACGCCAATCGCGACCTGAAGTCGTCCATGTCGCACGCCTAAAGCCGTTTCATGCGCGTTAACAAACTGAAACAGTGCTTTTTTTGTATTATTGTTGTATTGTAATTTATTCATTGTACTTTCTTGCATTATTATTGTACCTTCATCTTTAGTTAAAGCATCGAGACGATGCCTTTTTTCAGAGGGGGGCAATGCCACGTTCCATTTCCCAAGCTTTTGTTATCGTACCACACGATTCTCAGCGCAAACCGCGCCTGCAGTTTTCGAGAGGGTTCCGGACTGTAGTAGATTGTTTCGATAAGATCACGCCCACTGTGCGAATGGTACAGATTGTTCTGGAACGTACGCTGCCGCCAGCGGTAGCGCTAGAACATTCGACGGCGGGAGTATAAATGCCGACGCGCTTCGCCGCTTGTCAGTTGTTGATCGAAGGCCGACGCTGCGTTCGCCGCTATCAGTCCGAGATTGCTATCTGTGCAAGACTGCTGCTGTAATTAGACTTTCCCTTTACCGGGCACAGGTTCGCCCAAATAAACAGTTAAATCCCAACACGAAGTTTCCTGTCTTTGGCCACGTCACGACCCCGTGACAATATATATATATATATATATATATATATATATATATATATATATATATATATATATATATATATATATATATATATATATATATACGGGGAAGTATGCGCTAGCCTCCTCTTTCTGCGGAGCGAACACCGCCTTTCCGGCCGGGCTCGTCTGCGCGCGCGCTTATCTCGCCAGAGAACAAGGGGATGGGGGCGCTTATGGTTGCCGCGCTGTCACCGCAACAATAAAAAAAAACGGTGCCAAAATTCTACCTGAAGCGACCGTGTTCTCTTACACCAGCGTTTTGTAGAGTTACGTGAGATCGGATCTAAATGAGGTGACTCCCAGCCTCACTTCGTATATCAACACCGTCACTACGCACAAGCCTTGTTTTGGTCATCTACTGTGGCGGCGCCATAAGAAACTTAATTGCTTAGCAAGCGCATGTTTACTACAATTATTATTGCTCCTACGATGCTGGCCTTGCTTTGTAAAACAGGAAAATATGTTGCTATTACATTCAATGCTTCGTTCTTTTGGCGAAATTGTGACTTTTTTTTAATACAAACGCGTAACGTAGACAAGGACTACGTGTCGGTGTCTTAGTCTTTGCGCTCATATTTAAGAAACCAAGGTCCCCTATTTCACATTCCATGTTGCATGTTGTGTGGACCTATAACCCCCCCCCCCGCGCTTTTTTATAAATGCGAAATATTTCTTAGCGAACTTCGGTGACTTTGAGCGTATCTATCTATCTATCTATCTATCTATCTATCTATCTATCTATCTATCTATCTATCTATCTATCTATCTATCTATCTATCTATCTATCTATCTATCTATCTATCTATCTATCTATCTATCTATCTATCTATCTATCTATCTATCTATCTATCTATCTATCTATCTATCTATCTATCTATCTATCTATCTATCTATCTATCTATCTATCCGCTTACGCTTGGGCGATCTCGTGGTCACCCTTTTGATGTGACGTGAACTAAAATTAGCATATGAGGGTAAGAGGGCACATACCTAGGGGCGTGTATGTGCCGCTGGTATGCGGGTATGTGCCACAGGTAATTGACAGTATATACCCAGGAACGATGAGAGAACACACATGGTCAATTTTGACGCGCGAGCGTCAAGAAATGCCCGACATCGGAAGCGTCGACCCGACGAATGCGAAAAATAATTGTAAAGGTCCCAGCGGGAATCGATCCCAAGCATTCTGCGTGGCAATGAAGCCATTTATCTACGCCAGGGCTCGGAACTACTTTTAAAATAGACGCCAATCTTCGTGAAACATCAATATTGGTTGCAGTGCTGCCTACTCAATTTTATAAACATTGCATATGTACTCCTTTGATACGGCCGTCACATTGGGTCAACGTCAATTGTTGTTAGTTGCCATGCATTGAAGTTTATTCATGTAGCAGTGTCCAGGACCAGCATGCATCTGCGTGAGCATCAGTGCTTCATATCAGCTTCTGGTGTTTCTAATACGCATGTTCCAGGTGGCATCGTTGCGCAAGTGTAAATAATTGCATATATAAACATCTGCAACTCTTCAATTTATTGCTGTGTGTGCAACATTTGTGCATATATTTAGCGTCATTTGAGACGTGTCGCTCAATAAAAAAAATTGTAACACGGTCACCTGCCCTCCGCATGCTTCGCATAACGTTGACTTCCAGGCACGTGGGATCTGCCGACTTTTTTTCCCGGCTGTCATGCTTGCTCTATCTTTCGCGAACGCGGCTGTGTTTGCTAGCTGTGACTTGTTGGGAAACTAATGCAGCTTTACACGTGGAGAGCGTCCTTGGGTGTTGTCTGCATTGTTGTGGCAGCCCACAACGCAACAATACTTCGCACCTCGTTAACGCTACCGTGGGGCCGCTTCCTCCATCGCAAAAAGGCAACTTCGCACGGTGAGCGTCTCGTTTTAGCGCTCCATGCTGACGACACGGAGCCCAAGTTCCCCGCACCGACTGCAGAACGCTTTGCACACGTGTCGCTCCCGCTCCCGTTTTGGCGAAACACACCGACTCGCCTGCGACCTTTCCCGCGTCTCTCCTCAAGTTTTCCGGAGCTCGCCGCCAGGGCGAGGCGCGGCGTTGTCGTCGCTCCACGAACTTGAGCTTCGGTTCCGCTCACGTGGTGTCACTGCGCCCAGCGTGCGTGCGCGTCAACGTTACGTCTCACCGTGCGTCTGAGTATACTGAGCCCTTCATGATTCGCTCGCCACCGTTTCGGCAGCTTTGCATATACTAATTTAGTTTTACGGGACGTGAATGCATAACGAAGGTATGTGACTGGTGCAAACATGATAATCATGAGATGCGTTTCATGTAACAACATAACTACATGCTGTGGTCATAATGCGCTCGCGGTCGTTTCGCTAGCTCCACATATACCAAATTTGGTATTGCATGATGCGAATGGACGACGAAAGTAAATGAAACGTCCAAGTATGACAATCCTGACATGCGTGTCATGTAAGAGCATGACAACATACCACGCTCACGATGCGCTCACAGCCATTCCGCTAACTTCACATATACTAAATTTTGTATTACGTGACGTGAATGGACGACGAATGTAAATGATACGTCCAAACATGATAATTTTGATATGCGTGTCATGTAAAACATTACTACATGCTACGCTCATAGCGTGCTCTCGGCCATTTTGCTAGCTCAGCATATGCCAAATTTGGTATTACGCGACGTGAATAGTTGATGAAGGTAAATGACATGTCTAGACATGATAATGATGACATGGAAGTCGTGTACGGCATAATTTACGTCCGCCTCGTAACGTCGAGCTGATTATAAAGGGACATAACCTTTCTCATTCGTGCTTCGTATATCATCGATTTTCACTGTACGTGTAATCTGCCAATTTTTTTTATTAACGCGCCAACACTCAGAACTTAGTTACCAAAACAGTGATCTCAGTATAAGACATGTCGCAGTTGCAGTAACTCGGGATGGATTTTGAGGACCAGTTTTTAAAGTGCTCTTTCAATTAAATGCACGAGCGTTTCATCACAGTTACACGGCCATTAGACAGTTAGCGCTCATCTGAATGTGGTTACATGGGCAGAGAGTCAAATCCGGCATGTTGAACTCAATAGTTAATCTCTTATGCCATAGCCGTCGAAGTATACTACGGCAGCTACGCCCGTTGTACACTTATGCATTCTGTACATATAAACACCGTGAACATGAGTAATAATAATAATAATAGTATATGAGGAACTCAACGTGAAAAAGAAAGCGTAACTAAAGAAAAGCCTGCCTCTATTCCCTCAGTGTGTCATCGGAAGCTTACCTGCCATGGAAACTCTCCGTACTGAGCGTCTTCACCACCTATGATTCTCCTCTGCGGCTTGTTCGTTGATCTACCGCACACTGCACGGAAGAAATCAAATCAGCACACGAGTCAAAATTGGAGGCTAACAGCCCAAAAAAGTAGGAATAAAGTGTTCCATATTCAAACTGCCGTACACTAATAGAGCAGCGTAATTACAGAGAAGTGACCAAATAAGTGTAAATCTTCTAAATATAGGCATTCAGATAAGGAGACCAAAGCTGTCAATGGCTAGGACTCTCGGTATTTGACATTGCCATATCTGAGCAAGGACTGCTAAATTATTACGAAAAGTTGTCTGAGGAGAATATGAAATTGTGAACTTGCATGATTTTTGCGTTTTGTTAGTGTTCTACAATATTCAAAGTGACTAATTTGCAAAGCTACAAAAACGTTGGAAGCCGGCAGAAGCATGACATCAATGCTGGTTCAAGTATTGTCGATGCCACGATGCTTTCACCTTTCATCGACACTAAGTTTTCTCAAGTGACTTTTGTAAAACCCTTTATGCTAGATGTAGATGCAGATTTATAAACTTATATTCACTGGCTGAAGCTTATCCTTGGCAATTGACCTATAATCTCGTAGTTTAAATAAAGTTACAAAACGAATGATGAAAAGGACGGCTGTTTTCCTTTCATATTAGAATATTTTGCTTATAATGACAATACATAAACACATGGGGAAAAAGGAAGGGTGAATAAGTTTACGAAAACAAGCAAACAATTTCCAAAATAATAAGTTACATATTGAAAAATGTCATGGTGGAGAAAACAATGAAATATATATTGCGAGTGTAGAGTTGCAGTCTCATTGATTTTGCTATAACATTTTCGGGTGGTATGTACCGAGTGCCCAAGGGACAAAATATGTAGAAGTATAATATGTTGAGGAGTTTCAGCCAGTCATGCGGAGAGGTGCTGCTATGGTTCGTTTTTACCAACTCACCGCATTGTTGACAAGAAGTAGAAAAAAAAATTTCGCCAAGTCGCTTGTGTCATGTCGCGCAAGGTTGTGTCAACGCTATAGTTGGTCCTGGATGGCATGGGCGCTTATCCTACCATCTCTTTCCATCCGACCTCTTGCTATACTTTACTACGCACGACTATGCTCGACTCTCTCCCATAGCAATATGCGACAGCATTCGGGAAAACGAAAATACCTACCAACGTAGCCCACCAAAAAAATTAAAGAAACACGTAGACGGGTGGCAAACAGCGATTAGATGCTGCACGTTTCAGCTTCCTTTGTTGACCGTCTGCGCCGAGTGCTTGGGTGGTTTCTGGGCGCGTGCCCATGCATGATTATGGTAATTTTCTATGTACGACAAATGGCACACCTCGACATAACAGCTCTGTTGCAAATCTTTTTTCTTCTCATCTTATTTATTTATTTGGTTTGAGTACACAGAGAACACGAAGACAAATAAAATAGGGAGGGAACAGGCTGACAACTGCCACCTATAGGGGCACAAAGCCTGCCTGCTCCTTCGGGAAGGGGAGGCATAGAGGAAATAAGGGAATAAAGAAGGGTAGATAAGAGGAAAGTTTAAAAAAAGGAGGGGAAACACGCACATGCAAAAAAAAAATTCAATAGTCACATGAAAAACGTCTATAAAGGTAATGATCGAACATTCTACTGTAGCACGAAGGGACGGTAGACAATAGGAACAAACTGAAAAGAGTGCTACACTAAAACTCGTCAAAAAAATAAAAATGAGCTTTCAAAGAAGGCTAAGTACGACGTCCGCGATAGACAGAACGCCGGTGCCGTTCGGCGGCTCACCGTCTTCGTCGTCCACGTTGTAGTACTTCCGCTGCGTGGCCGTGCGCGCGACGGCCGGACTCCGTGCTTGGAGCGCCTGCACCGACGCGTGGTCGGCCGGCAGCGAGGATCGCGTCCGCGGGGGCCGCACGCAGCACGTGTACAGCAGGCTGTTGCCGCAGCGGCCGGCTGCCGTGCCGCCCGACAGCAGGCAGAGCAGGACGAACGTGCACCGGTCGTCGCGGCCGTACGAGCACTGGCCCTGGCGACTCGAGTAGCCGGACTCCTCCGGAAGGTCTGCGTTGTGTCCGACAGGGGCTGCTTCGTGACTATAATCGTTACACCATATGATGAAGTAGCGCACCTTAAACGAGGACGAAGTGGACAAGAAAGAGTTAGGGAGCATCGTGTCCTTTTCGTCCCTTGTGTCCCCGTCCAAAAAGTGTGCTCTACATTACCCTACACGGTGACCTTCTTTGTGTGTATGCCATGGGCGAGCAAGTCAATGGCGATTCGTAGCAGACTATCGGGCTTACTTGAATTCATGTCTCTGTACATAGCCCAAATGAATGTTTTCATCACCGTCTCCACCTTTAGGTTCTCCTTCTACTTGATGTCTACGTCCCTCGTCATCATAAAGAACGTGGTGAACACCGTGAGCTAATTGCGGAGTAACTGTGGACTAACAAGTAGCCGCTTTTGTAAGCCTTGTCATGAGAAAGTGCCGCCTTCGTCATATACAGTTCCTCACCTAGCGAAAGAAATGTGTAACACTCAACGACATCCCTAATAAATATTCCCCCACTGGACTCCGCTCTACTAAAGGGTATTCCATGTGCTGCTATATGTTGTACTGTTCTCGGAACAGGCGTCCCCTTTCCATAAACTGTGCACGGGGACAGTAAGGAAAAGCGGGCTAGTTGGTTCGGCTGCATACCGAATTTTTTTACGCGCACAACTCGAAAACACTAACGATAGGTTCACAGCGACCCTTTCTTTAGACTTCAGGACACGTGTCAGTCACACCTCTGTATCGCTGAATGGCAACGAAATTGACTTGCTAAACAAGATGAGACAGTACGTGTCTGTGAAATGTTTTATTCCTTTTATGTAAAGGAATATCCTATTCCATTCGGCTCATGCGCATGCAGTGTTGTAACGAGTATATATTGTGTTTTCTTATTGAATAAAGGTCAGTTGATTGTCTCCCCTGGTCCTTGTGAAACTTTCGTTTGTGTCTTCGTGCTTTGTGAGCAAAAGTTTCAACATGTACAGTGGCCAAAGAAGAGTCGTCTCTGCGGATAACATTGCACCAGGAAGACAAAAAAGTCCTGTCACCGTAGATCGGTTCCAGTGTTCAACCGCGGTGGACAGTATCGGGTAATAATGTTGAAACTTCTGTCGGATTTAGGAATGGCAAATATACGCAGTTGGAGCCTTCTTTCGTATTCGTTTATGTTATCCTCATCCAACACTCCCATAGCTTCAGCTGCATACTTTCTACCGTATCGATCTGCATACGCCGGCTTAATAATGGTTCATTACTGTTCACATAGCGCAAAAGTTTGGCGCAGGGTAAGAGAGGGAACGAATAAGTCATGTGTCAAAGTTTTGCACTATATGTGAACAGTCATGAATCACCATCAAGTTCAATTTCACAATCTTGTTTTTATGGCTCCTTATTCGAGTGCTTTCTTGATACACTTCACGGTAAAATGAAGAAAAAACTCACAAACTGAACTCTTGAAAAACACTTCTTCGTGTTTCCTTACCCAGGGCACTGTATTCGCTCACGGGCACAAAGAAGTCATGTTAACAATTTGTAGGTTGACCGATATTTTTGACACAGACATATATAAGATGGCCGTGCTATAATGATAAAAACTACAAAAAAATAGTTTGAAAAAAAACCGAAATCAAGCCAGTAGATTCCTGAAAAAAAGTGAGACATATATGTTCGACTGACTCGCGAGTTTTAAAAAAAGTCAGAAAACACTGTCCCACTGTTTCATGAAGGCACCATTTTGCCATTGCTTCCACAGGTACTTGGAATAAAACGGCCAAAGCAAGTGGCACAGAGTATCCCTCATGATGTGGAGAGGAAAGTTGTGTGGACCTCATTTTAACAGGTGAACGCAACCTGCAGTTGCACCTCTTGTGAGCCTTCATAGCGCTCTGCTCTGTTCCTGTAGAGCTTTCTTCACCGCAAGCAGCAACCGTTGTTTTAGGAGCTTGCTCATAAAGCTCGCGCCCTGTCTGGCGGCTGCCGGCGTGTACACCAGTGTTGCACTCTAGACTTCTCTAATCACCGCTCAAGGTTACCACTTCAGTGATTCCAACAATGCTCACTAGATGGCGCGCCGCCACCCAAGGCGCCACCCAAGGCGTCCAGGGTGGTAGGAACAGGGTGAAGTGGGAAGAGATAGAAGAACAGCTATAAGAGGAGAGGCCGATGGTATACGGTTTTGTAGAAACACATCTCAGGGACATCGAACAACCTCCTAACAATCCAGACTACGCGTGGGAATATTGTAATAGAACAGAAGGCCGCAGAAAGGGGGGTGGTATTGGGACATTCATTCATAAAAGTACAGACTGGCAAAGGGTCAAGCAAGAGTGCAAGGAACATTTATGGCTAAAAGGGAAAGTGGCAAGGCAAATGACACTCCTTGGTTTCGTGTACTTGTGGACGGGAGCAAAGGCCAGAGAGGAAAACCAGGCAATGGTAGAGTGTATATCAAAGGACATTCAGGAGTTAGGAGGAGAGTGCGAGATTATTATACTAGGAGATATGAATGCGCACATAGAAGATATCGATGGGTATACCGACCAGAGAGGCAAAATGATAATGGATATGTGTGAAAGGCTTGATTTGATCATTTGCAAAAGTAGCGAGAAGTGTGAAGGGCAAATAACATGGGAGGTGGGAAGGCTGCAGTCGACGATAGATTACGCACTAATGTCCCATAGGATGTATGATAAGCTCAGGGGAATGCACATAGATGAAGGTGGCTCCAGAAGTCTGGGTAGCGATCACAAACGTATCAAGCTAAGTTTTGGAAGAGCAGTGAAAGTGGGAAGGAGACAAGATGAGCAACTATAGTATACTGGAAAATTTTTATTCAGAAAAGCAAACTGAAATAGCCACTAAACAAATTGAGAAAGTAATCACTGAGAATAATAAAACAGTGTGGACATACACGAATCTAATCAGACCATTTGAGCTAGAGCTTGCTAAGGCACGTGAGAAGTCACCCCGAAAAAGAAGACACAAACCCAAAAGTTGGTGGGATGAGGAAGTTAAAAGAGTCATAGCAAAAACGTCAGGAAGCCTCTATAGGGAACACAGACATGCTAAGCAGCGGGGTGAACCGACAGATGATCCATAATGAAACAAGCGCAGAAATACATACACTCAAAGAGGACACAGACAAGTGCTTACTAGCAACTGAAAATTTTATTTCGAAGCGAACACTAATAAATACATCTCACGCATGTACGTCATTCCCGCCTTCCCCTGTCAACATCAACAACGCGATATAACAAGATATGGACACGCCCGCAAGCGGAAACAAACACGTGTCAAGAACTAAGAAAAGAAAACGTAAAAATCATAAAAAACGTAAAAAAACAAAGAAACAAAAACAAAAAAAACAAAAAATTGTAACACAGAGAAAAACACTGGGTTATGAGACGTCCAAAAAAGCGAATTCCGCATCTGTTAGTAGAACTGACGCTTGACTGACGCAACTGTCCCCTCCTTTCCTTATTCTATACGCTTCCAATATTTCTCTCGTCGTCCTCTTGTTGTGCCTGTCAATTATTCGTGTGTCGGAAAACTTCGGTTGGCAGGTGCACTCCTTGCATTGCATCGCTAAGTGTGAGTAAGGGGCCCCCTTCAGTGAACTCTCATGTTCACGAAGGCGCACATTTATGCACCGACCCATCTGACCAACGACGGGTCGGTGGACAACGACAGATGATATTGAAAGAAAATTGGAAATCTTTCTAAGCTGTAGAAGGGATGCATCCCTTCCGATCAATGAAAAGATTAGAAGAAAGGGAGCTCAGTGGCTGGCAGAAGTGCATAAAAAGATAGAAAGGCAGCTGCGAAATTTTGGAACCATCTATACTCCCTAAAAAATGAGACGAGCCTAGAGCAGAGGTTTATACCTACAGCTCAAAGTGCTAGGCTAGAAGGGGACGAAGCTATTGAATATATAAGAACAAGGGTGACAGGAAAATTTTAACAAAGAATTGCTTTACGCACCACAATAGACAAGGATAAATCAAGTGGCGCAATGGCTCCACTTTCACAACAAGAGTGGGAAAGGGCTGCGAAAAAGGTTCCTAGTAGTACATGAACAGGCCCAGATGGCATTGTAATTATGCTGATAAAGACATTAGGTCCGAAGTCTAAGCAGGCTTTGAGAGAGGCAGTCAGCAAAATAATAATCGATGGTGAAGTTCCCGATGGATGGAAACTTAGCAGGACGAAGATGATCTATAAAGGAAAAGGGGACAAAGCTGACATAAACAACTACCGACATATAACAGTGACATCAGTGGTCTACAGGCTGGCGATGCAGATTATAAAGGAAAGACTGCGGGCATGGATAGAGGATGAGGGGGTATTGGGGGAACTGCAGAATGGGGTTCGGAAACATAGGAGGTTGGAAGACAATCTGCTCTCACTGACGCAGTGCATCGAAATAGCAGAAAAGGAACACAGGCCCCTGTGGCTAGCATTTTTGGATATCAAGGGAGCGTACGATAGCGTGGTTCAAGAGGAATTGTGGGGAATGCTGGACACACTAGGCGTGGAAGATGTAGTCACTAATCTTTTAAAGGATATCTATAAAGGTAACAAGGTAGTTATAAAGTGGGAAAAACAGGTATTCAAGCCTGCAGAGGTAAAACGGGGGCCTAGGCTGGGGTGTTCCATGTCACCCTTGTTATTCATGATGTACCTACAAGGATTAGAGGCCAAATTAGAGGGAAGTGACTCGGGCTTCAACCTCTCTTTTGTCAAACAAGGAAAGCTCATTGAACAGGCACTACCAGCATTGATGTGCGCAGATGATATAGTGCTAATGGACGACAACAAGGAAGATTTGCAGGAATTGATAGACATCAGTGGTAATGAGGAAGATAAGTTAGAATGTCAGATTCAGTAAGAAAAATCGAGCACTCATGATTTTAATGGCTAATGAAGGTAGTGAGCTTAGAATACAGGAGATCACGCTAGAGATAATAGATAAATACAAACATCTGGGCGTATGGATAAACACTGGGACGAGTACCTAAGGGAACTAGAAATATACGAATACGCTAAAGGTAACAGGAATAGCAGTCGGTAATGAAAAACAGGGCACTGTGGAATTACAATAGGTATGATGTTGTAGAGGGAATATGAAAAGGGGTCATGGTTTCCTGGTCTGACGTTCGGCAATGCGGTCTTGCGCATGAGATCAGAAGTTCAAGCAAGATTAGAAATTAAGCAACGTGGAATAGGTAGGCTTGCCTTAGTAGCTCACGGGAGAACACCAAATCAGGTAGAAGGTGATATGGGATGGACATCATTTGAGGGCAGGGAAGCTAGCAGCAAGGTAAAATTTGAGAAGCGATTGAAAGAAATGGGGGAGGAGCATTGGGCTAGGAAGGTATTCAGCTAATTGTACATGAAGAACGTCGATACAAAATGAAGGAAGCGAACCAGAAAATTGACTAGTAAATACTTAGAAAACAGCAGGGGGCCAAGCCAAAAAGAATTATATGTTAAGAAGAAGGTGAAGGAAACTGAGACCAATATGTGCAGAATTGGCATAATTAAAAAGTCCGCACAAGAGATCTATCGAACATTTAAGCAGGAAATTGCCAAGGAAAGGATCTATGATAATACTCGGGGTAGTTCTCTACTGTTTGAGGCCAGGACGGGAGTATTGCGAACCAAGACATATCGAGCCAAATACGAAGGGGTAGACACGGTATGCAGTGCGTGTGGAGAGGAAGAAGAAACTACCGAACACTCTATAATGTTCTGTAAAGGGCTTCACCCTATAGTTCAGGATGATGGCGCAGAGTTTTTCAAAGCACTGGAGTTTAGGGATATGGAGAGCAAAATAGACTTTAAGCGGGTAGAATTAACTAGAAGGAGGTAATCTGATTGGTGGCTAAAGTCAAGACACGAGTGAAAATTAAACCCTTCTCTGGAAAGTACGAATCCTCAACCTCATTATTTAAAGAAAAAAATAATAAATCTAGTTTTTGGTTCATTAAGTATTACGACTTGGTGGCGCTAGCCACCGCACGATCTAAGGGGTCCATCCATCCATCCATCCATCCATCCATCCATCCATCCATCCATCCATCCATCCATCCATCCATCCATCCATCCATCCATCCATCCATCCGTCCATCCATCCATCCGTCCGTCCGTCCGTCCGTCCGTCCGTCCGTTGGTTTTCGATGGCCTGCGCACTTACATACTCGTGACTGCGTCCACTTCATTCTTGTCGCTTCGTAGGTACGCCAGCAAGTGACAAGTTTACGATGAGTGTTACACACGGGTTTGATATCTTCCCAAACCCCATCACCTGCTTACTCTCAACCCCGTTTAAGGCCGCCTGATGGCTCCACGTCTGCCAATTAGGGCGTTAGGCATTTGACTCACGGTAGCGGCCAGTATGGCATAAAGGAGCATGTGATTAACGTGCCGATCAACGTGACCAACACTGTGCGGTGGCGGCCACGGAACGTGCCCGACAACGCTGCATTCGACGTACACATCATGCGCCGGCTCGTTGACAAGCCTTCCTACCAAAATGGTCTCGCCAAGAAACTGCCCGTGCACCTCCGAGAAAGCTCCTCTATCATCATTCTCTTTGTGTATATGGCGGTGATTTTTTGTTGTTGCTAATTCGAGTGTCCCTACTCTTACTGTCGAAACGGTCAAGCAGAGCTGATGTCACTGCACACGCGCCTGTACTTTCAAAAGGCATATAAAATAAAGCAAGAAAATATATATTTCTACGCAATAATATTCGCAATTGCACTGAGGGATGAGCGAGACAATTCCACAGGGGATTCTTCAGGTGAATTTATCGGTCAAGATATGCTAACTTACGAGAACACGGGATGACTAGAAGCTAAAATGGCCTCCGAGGAAAGTCAGAAAAAGAGAGAATTATGCGACATTATGGTCGGTAGGTTCTATATATCTCAAGAAGAGAAAAATCCATGCGATATCATAAAAAAATTGACCGACATTCAACGCCGTTGTAACCCAAGTTGTGCCCTTCAAAAATATAGGAAAATGGTTTTCTCGATACTATACGACGATTTAGGTAACATACGAGTGACAGCGCTGCGCCTTGTGCTATGGTGATGTGGAAGAAAATTTTTATTGCGATAGCATTTATATAGACACTCTCGGCTGAACTTTGCAGCCAGCTTCGACGTCAGCATCACTAACCGTATGTGTATACGTATCTATATATATATATGAAAACACAAGAAAAAAATAAGACTCTGGCGCACAAAATCGAACATGGGACCTCCGAAGTGTGAGTGCGAGGCGTTTACTACTGAGCCACAAAGGAACACCCCCTTCAACACTCAAACGACTAGCTATTTATATTGATCACTTACCACTGGTGACTGGCATCTCGGAGAGAACTATTGTGTTTTCAGCATTAATAGCAAGATGTCGCAAACAGCGCAGGTCGCCACTCTCGTCTCCCACGCTTACTTTGCCCTTATCTCGCGGCGGGGAGGATCTTGCGCCTTGGCTGGCCTTGGGCTTTCACCGGAATGATTATGTTGTTGTTATCGGGTGCACAAATGTCACTGCAATTGTTTCGCAGTCTCCGTTTGGGAGAAGGGTGGGCTTTTCAGACACAGCAAAGTGACAACTGAGACGCTTATTCACTTTCGTCTGTACCTGTGAGTACGTTTCGTGCGTCATTTGCGCATGAGTAACGCGGGGCATGTTTCGATCTGCTTGCCATTCTGCGCGTCACCTCCAGATTTGCGATTTGTTGCTATCGCCTTCATTGCTTCGCCTTTGCGGCAATTCAAACTGTGACTTTTTTTTTTCTCCAGATGGACAGGTGGGACGTGAGTGTCCCATTGTCGCAGAGAAGCTTATGAAAGTCCATTTCTCGTTGTTTGGTGAGGAGCGTGCATATACTCACGTGCGGGCACGTATAGGTGTATCTGTGGGTCGGCCAGGTGCAGGCAGCAGCAGGCTGTCAACAGGAGCGCCCACCACGAGTGCGGCCGCCACCGCCGCATGGCGCCCCCGCGCCCCGGCAGCAGCACGGCAGCGCCGCCGTCTGCCCGTCTGCGCATAAGAACAAAATACGAGGTGGATTTGTTATTCAGTGCATTCACTCGTATAGTCTAGTGAACAGGAGTACCAAATTGGAGTAAAGAACCATTCGGCGCTTTGAAAACGGCACCGTTGGTTGGTGCAGGAGGGAATTAGCCGTATTGGAGAACTGTGATCGTGGGCTGCGCGTAATAGGGTGAAGCTTACTTCTTTTTGTGAACTGCGTTGCCAAAACAGGGTACTTCAGGAGCACGGGTTTAAAGGCTGATAGGATAATGTCATAGTGCAGATTTACTTAGATGCGCTTTCAGAAATTGACCCCGTGTGATGACAGCACTGCGATATACCTTACGCCACAATTGCTTTGTGCCAGCCGAAAAAACAATCAAACGCGCTACGTTGTCGTACTTTGGGTGTTATATAAAGTCATGCGTAAATTAAGGCTCTGACTTTGGAATGCTACATCATTAATTTCGTTGTATGTTTAAGTGCTGGTACTTCTTTTTTCAAGATATGTTCTCCAAAGGTCATATTCATGTACTAGTATAGCAGTTTTGTCTAACGAACCGTGTTTACGAGACAACCGTAAAAATGCTGTACGAACCCGCAATGTCATGAGGAGCCGGTTTGGTAGTCATAAAATGGCGTCGGCACATTCAATAGCGTGTTACTGATAAAAGTACGCAGAAGGTATTCTAGAAATTGTGGCTGTGCTATTTGAAGCATTAGTTTACATCCAATAGGAACACTCTTTTTGTTAGTGAAAATATAAATGAAAAAGTGCCACTGGCCCACTTCGCAATCCCTGGAAATTGTTTTTTATTGCTGTTCGGCTGTTTCGTATTCACGTTTATTGTCTCGTTAACGACTACACGCGGGTAAAACTCCGTAGCATATTGCGGTTGCAACTGCGAGAGCATTTTACTCTCACACCGCTACATAATGCGCTCATTAATGCCGCTGGTCGTCATCACTGTAAAACACTGGTCGAACGCGTCTGGAAATAGCGTGTAGCAGTGTATACGCTACATGCATGGTTCATCGCGCACAAGAACTGGGCGATTCGCGTAGGGATTGGCTTTGAGCTATAAAAGAGAGAGAGAGTGTGTGTGTTTATGTGTTACCTTGTAAAAGAAAAGCCGCAAAAGGAAATCTCGGTACGCACATTGAAAGTGCAGCTACACCGGGACGCGCTATTTTTATGCGAGCCCGCCCAGGCAGCGTGAAAAGGCGCTTGCTATTCATTCGTAAACGTGGTCGCCTTCTGAGCAGGAGCAAAAAACCAGCCGGTTTTCCCGAAGTTAGTCGGTCAGCAGGCGGAACACTTGGCGGCGTTATGAGGCTGAGCACGAACACGGGCTTCGAACGTTACCCTGTCGGATTTTCCGTCCGGAACTCGCAGGATATTGATTATATGTATACTGGTACAGCGCTTGTATTTCTGGGTCCTCTTCACCAGACTTCCTCGTTTAACACGCCCATAGTCACCTGTCATGGAACCGGAGCTTCTAAACGACAGCTTGTTATGCCACAACAATGCTGTAGCACATTAATAATGTCTGGCATCCATCTTTGGATTCGAGTTGATGCGAGTCCGAGTGGAACTAAGTTGTCAAAGCAGCATGTGCGCTATCAACCCACTAACATTCATATCGAGGGACTCCTTTTTGCCCAACAAGCGCGAACACGTGAGTATTTAGAACCCGATAACGCCCGATAACGCAATACGCACGGCCTTCATTGCCATGTCGACTCATTAGCCATAACTCTCCATTTAGCGTTTCCCAGTGCGTAGCGGCCAGTAAGAGGCGAGTGTGTCCTGTAAGCAGCGGTGTGAACCACTTCGCAAACAGGTAGGCGTCATGCCCACTGAGGAGTCGCATTGACAGGTAATGCTGTGAAAGAGGCATAAAATCGCAGTAGGCGTCGTCCCCCCCCCATTCCGCTAATGGCATAACGAGTGGGTGGTTGAGAGGTATCAGCGTGTACATTAGATTGCAGGGTTGAGGTACACTCAATATCATCGTCCTTTAGTGGGCACTTGGGCTACTTCGCTGCTGTCGGCAAACCACCTTTGAAGCGTGCCTCGACCAGCGGAAGCTTCTGTTTGTTTGTTTGTTTTGCTACAGTACAGCGGAAGCTTCACGCTCACTTCGTCTTTTGCGGTGTTTGCGTGGCTGTAGTCGGATTATCGCCACCTTCAGAAGTCCACGTCGTTTCTTCCTCAAAGGTGGATGCACACAGGTCTGCACCAAAGGGCCTGCACTCCAGACTAATCTCGTGAGCCTGACGGTCGGCTATAGCACCATCTGAGAAAGTTACTGAGCGGAACTATTTGTGTAGTCACGGGGACGATCGTCTATTGCAGTTCTGTCTATCGGAGCGGGACCCCTACAGACTTTTCAAGTTGAACACAAATATAGAGAAAGTAAAGATAGTGCAAATATCGCGTCCTCGCCGGACATCCAATAAAACTCACTCACTCACTCACGTGACCGTGCGAATAAGAAAAGGAAACGATGGCCGTTTGCATCCATTGCGCCATTAAGTACGCATGAACGACGTTGACGACTGCAAGCAAACAGTCGAAGAAGGGCTCAGTGAAGCGGAAGGAAGGTAAAATGTTTTCCCATCGAATGATTCGTTTCTTGGCCAGTCCCCTAAAGTGGGTGTGAGCCATGCATACATATCTTCATCTTCATCACCACCATTAATGTCTCTGACGAAGTACCGTAGTACCACGGCTAGGCAAAAGACCCTGAACGGCTACTACCACTTTTTATGACAGACGTTGCACGAAAGCTCTGCTAGTTTGCTCGTCAACAAACCACGTACAATGAAATCAGCCGCACTTCAAGCATGCCCGACTGAACTCGCTTCACCTTACGGTATGTCTCCAAGTCCCGTTGAGGCTTTGCTGAGCAGACGAGACCCATTTATGTAGGCTGTGGTTGTGCATTGCGTTTACCGTCGCCTACGCGTTCTGCATTGGGATGGCCGACACCACAGCCTGTGACCACCGTGGCAACGAAGAAACCATCCGACATATCCTTTGTGACTGCCTAGAGTATAGTAGACAACGAATATGCCTTCGCAAGGAACCCAGCAAATTAGTTAATCAACCTCTGTCGGAGGAAATAATTTTACAGGATGCAACATCACAGAAGAGGGCCCTGATAGCGCTAGAGCGCTCTTTGCGATCGACCGGCCTTTCTGAATGGTTGTAGCCAGAACGCAGTTCCTGAGTGCGTTTAGTTTCCGTAGTTCCTATAAGTCGCCGAAGTTCGCCATGAAATGCGAAGCATTTCTTAGCGAATATCGGCCACTTTGAGCGTGTCTATCTATCTATCTATCTGGCCGCTTACGTTTGGGTTCTCTCGCGGGCACCCGTTTAACTTGGCCTAAACCAAAATCAGCATGGGAGGGTAAGATGGTTCGACGAATGTGACGCCCTGGTCAAGACAGGAATAATGTCACAATCCCGTCGTGTACGTCATCACACACTTCCCGCCAGATAGTGGCACATACCCACGGGCGGGTATGTGCCGCTGGTATGCGGGTATGTGCCACAGGTGATTGACCCTTATCTACCCAGGAAGACACATGGGCAATTTTAACGCGCGAGCGTTAAGAAATACCCGACATTGGTAGCGTCGACCTGACGAAAGCAAAGAATAAATGTCAGGGTCCCAGCTGGAATCGAACCCAAGCATTCGGCGTGGCAGTGAAGCTACGCCAGGTCTGGGATTTTTTTTTTTTAAATAGACGCTATTCTTCGTGAAACATCAATTGTGGTTGCAGTGCTGCCTACCCAAATTTACAAACATTACATATCTACTGCTTTGATACAGTCGCCCCATCGAGTTAACATCAATTGAGGTTAGTTGTCATGCGCTGAAGTTCATTTATGTAGCTGTGTCCAGGGCCAGCATCCTCGCGTGCATCAGCGCTTCATATCAGCTTCTGGTGTTCCTAATATGCATGTCCCAGTTGTCAACGATGCGCAATTGCAAACAACTGGTTATGCCCCGCCGCGGTGGTCTAGTGGCTAAAGTACTCGGCTACTGACCCGCAGGTCGCGGGTTCAAATCCCGGCTGCGGCGGCTGCATTTCCGATGGAGGCGGAAATGTTGTAGGCCCGTGTGCTCAGCTTTGGGTGCACGTCAAAGAACCCCAGGTAGTCTAAATTTCCGGAGTCCTCCACTACGGCGTCTCTCATAATCGTATGGTGGTTTTGGGACGTTAAACCCCACATACCAATCAATCAATTGCAAACAACTGGTTATATAAACATCTGCAACTCTTCAACATATGTGTGTGCGTGCAACATTTGCACATATATTTAGCGTCATTTCATGACGTGCCACTCAATAAAAAATTTGCAACACGGTCACCTTCACTCCGCATGCGTCGCTTAACGTCGATTGTCAAGTACGTGGGATCTGCCGAATTTACCCCCTCTCTCTGCCCCCTCTTTCTTGCCCCTATTTCCCCACCCCCAGTGCTGCGTATCGAACCGGATGCCACTATCTGGTTAACCTCCCGGTCTTCCTTTCTTTCTCTCTGTAAAGCAAAATGGGCACAAAGGTTTACAATTACTAGAAACTATAGGAAGCGCACGTATCTTGCAATATTATTTGCCTCTGCAGTAGTACAATGCAGTGTTCGTTTACTGACCTGAAAGAGATGGATTCGGTGCCGGTTGAGGCGGTCGCGTTTCGATCGAGGCGAAATGATACAGGTCCACGTACTGTGTGACAGCAGTGCACGTTAAAGAATACCAGTCGCTCGAAATTAATCTGTAATCTCCCTTGAAAGATCATTTCGTGGTGTCGGCACGTAAAACCAGATAAATTCTTTATTACTATTCATTTTGCAAGTATAAATTTGTTTAACACGCGCCTTTTATTGTTAGCGCCCTTTTTGTGTAGTAACAAACACTGGAGCTGTTCTGCAAGCCCACATTTTGAAAAAAGCACGTCTGCAGCGTAAGCTCAGATAACATCAGTGAC